CTCTCTCTCTCTCTCTCTCTCTCTCTCTCTCATTAGGCACAGAAACGTAAAGACAGCATCTACTTTCTGGATCAAAGCCTTGTGTGAACTGCATGTCTTGCCACTATAATAATTTCTAGCTAAGCAGAGCACTGTAGAAATATGGCCCTCAAAGACAGACAAATGCAGAGTTCTCTCCTATACACAACACTATTCAATAGATGTTACATGGAGATTACTTCAGTAAATTAGCTTTTAGTTGAAAGCAGTACATTACTTTGGGAATATAGAGTTCAAAAACACATCAAAAGGCAGGCAATTCTGTGAACATGTTTTAAGGTGCCAGCATACTTACAGTTTTTTCATGATTTTCAAAAGCCTCTCTGGCTTCTTCGTATGTGCAGACTTCTTCTTTGCACTCACGCTCAATGTTGCCCTGTCTTATTTCTTCAAAAAGCCCATTGGCTCTTGGGTAGCGTTTTAATACAGAGTTGGCTTTTTCTTCTGTGAGAAAAACTAAAAAGAGATACAGTAATAAGCATAAAAATGCAATAAGAAACTCATGTGGGAAGTTGATATATAAGAAGAAAACTGCCAGATGTTCCTCAGAAAACACAGACATTATAAACATCTTTTAGTAAACGTGGAGTGAAATAATGTTTAACTTCAAACCAAAGTATTTGATAGCTTCTTCATAAAGGAATATGTGCTTTTAGTCCCTGTGGCCCTGGGAAGGAACAGTAGCATAATTAACCATGTTATATTCAGACTTTAGCACATTCTTGACCACCATGGTTGTTTAAAAATAGTAATAATGATAGCACTACTTATATTCATTACTGTAAGTGGATACCCCAAGGCATTCTGCAACCAAACCAAAAGCCAGTCTCTGCCTACCTAAAAATAAATACAAATCCAACTGACCCAGTAATATAAACTTAGAGAACTATTACTTCAAAAAAGACTTAACATGGTGAAAGTCTCATTATAGATCTTTCAAGTTTGTAAAAGAAAAAGGATATATTCCAAAGAACTTTCTGAAATCAATGAAATATAAAAGATAAATTTATCTACACATCAGTCCAAAAAGAAAAACAGTAATTATAATTTCATTCTAAATTTAGTATAGCTATACTTCAAGGCATTCAATCTCATTTCATCATCATTAAAGAAAATTATTTTCCATGAATTATAAAGTTATATCTTAAAAAATATTTAAAATGCACTTGTGAAACCAGTGGAATAAATGAATCACAGCAAGTGCAATACCACTCTGGGCTATACAGTGAGGGCAGAGCTTGAAAGACAAACAGTTGGTTGAAAATACAGTTCAATGGTAGTACACTTGCCTAGTGTGTCTATGGCTCCGGATTCAATCCCCAGCACTGCAATGAATGAATTAATGAATGAATGACTCAATTTGAAATAGATCATTGCCATGTTTACCCTTATGGGGGATGCATTTAATTTTATATACAAGAACATTTAAGTTCTACTTTCTGTTTTTCTGAAAGTGTCTTATTTGCCTCGTATATAAATGCCATCATAATTTCTGTTAATGTAAAAATGTTAGACACTTTCTATTTTATAGACTTCTAACATGGCAAAAAGCATACTACAAGGGTTGAAAAGATGGTTCAGTGGTTAAGAGCACTTGATGCTCTTGTAGGGGATTCAGGTTCAGTCTCTAGCACCCATGTAATACCCTACAACTATCTGTAAGGCCAGTCTCAGAGGCTCCAACCTCCAATACCTTCTTCTGGTCTCTATGGACAACTGTGCACGTGCATATATACATGCACACATTTTTAAAAATTTTTTATTATTATTGAATTTTATTTTCTTCTTTTTGCACTAGGTCTTCATGATCTGGCTTATTCAATTCACATGCTAAATTTTAATTGACAAAACATGATCAGTATTTGAATTTCATAAAATGTAGTCTTCAAAGTATAGTCACATAGTGAGGCTGTAAAGTTTTCCAAAACTGAACCTAGTCATAAAATAATCTTCAACATGTGCAGTCATATTGACAAAATGGATTATCTTTTACAAGATAATTGATTCCTTGAAGCAAACATGGCAATTTTAAAATCACATCCCTTCAAGCTAAATGAACTTACCCACTCTCCCTCCTCTCTCCCCCTCTCCCTGCCTTTCCTCCTGGTCACAATACATTTTTAAAAGCTGTATTTGTAATGAACTCCAGGCAATCCTCCAGTTACCACAGTTTGAGAATCACCACCATAATATCAGTTCCTCAGAAGACAAGTTCTGAATGTTTATGGAAAACTTGGATTAGCAGATTTAGACATATTGTACTGCGTGACTTTTAAGGTCTTTAAAGTCTATTTAATATATACTTTATAATTCTCTTGAAAATGAATGTGTCTGGTATTGGTTTGACTATGGTATTCTTTTTCAAGATACATTTCACTGAATTTCAACATTTTAGCTACTGGTCATATTCATATCTTCTAAAATAACAGATGTCTCCCCCAATTAATATAAGACAGTAACTGACTTTTACTGAAACATCTTTTTTCCAAGACATTTTTTTCCTTCTTCATCTGTTTGCCATGTAAGTGAATATGATTTGCTGGATCAACCTTCTCTCATAAACCAATGTCCTGTGTTGACTCAGTAAGAATCAGAATTTGATCAGAATTTTCAGCATCCTTATTTTTAAACACATATGCTAATTCATTTTAAAATATCACCAAATTTTAGATCAGTTTTCCTGAACATAAATCAAATAATCAAGAATAAGAGATTTTGAACTTTCAACAGGAAAAAATGCAAAATATCATGAAGAGGAAATTATCTTCTCATATGCCAGCTAAATGGAAAATGAGCATTAAGGAAAGTAGCTAACTCATAAAAGTAGAAAGCAAAGTAACTGAAAGGTGATATATCAGGGCACAAACTTCAAATCCCAGACTAATCAAATTACCAGGAGCATTCCACATAAACATCTCTTATGTATTTCCTCTACCAAGAAGCAAGGTAATATAATACTACGAACTCTAGATGTTGGCAAGTAATCTTTATCTCCTTACCAAATCGACTTAATTAGAAGATACTACATGAAGTAAAAATTTGACCAATTGCAAAAAAAGAATAGTATTATAGATAAGTTGTATCTGCCATGTATCAGGGAAGAAGAAATGAAAACAGAACATTTGATAGAATTTTAAAAAATAGTTTAGAAATCTAATAGACTCTGCATAATGATAAAAGAATTAGGGAGCTTTTGAGATAGTTCATCAGGTGCTTGCCAAGAAGCCTATCAACCTGATTCTGATCCCTGGAATCCACAGTGGGAGGTGACAACCTTCAAATTGACACTCCATCGACCAAATATGCACACATGCATGCACATGCACACACAAAATAATTTTAGTTTTTTTAATAGAGTAGAATATGGCAACTATGACTTATAGGATGAAGTCACATTATCTCTTTTTTGTATGTTTTTCTAATTGAAAATAATTTTTCATATGGTTTCCCATCCCTCAATGCCTCCCAGATCCTCCCTAGACACCCAGTTTTATGTTTTCTTTCTTTCTTTTTAGAAAACAACTAGGCAAATAAACAACAAAAAATAATAAAAAAAAGAAAGAAAGAAAAAGCACAGGAAACACATCCACTCCAGCAAATACCATGAAAACACAAAATTGGAAACCATATTAATATACAAGCAAAAGACCAGTAAGACAATAAATGCCCAAACAAAGCAATGAGACAAAAACTCTACAAAAATACCGTTGAGTTCATTTGTGTTGGCCACCTACTGCTAGGCATGGGGCCCACTCATAAGTGTGGTCACTATGCCCAATGAGACTCCATTAGAGAAAACTAATGTAAAATACAGATATCTTCTTGGTTAGGGATGTCCACTTTCCTCTCTCAATGCTGGGACTCTGTCTGGCTTCAACCTGTACAGGCCAAACTTTGGGCAGTGTCCAGGCTTCAAGGCTTACCTTGGGACTTTTCCTGACTAGATGGACTTGCATTAGGAATTTCAAATTCAAAGCTAGAAGCTAAGGGTATAGCATGGTGTTAATTCTCAGCATATGTAAGGCTCCGTGGTCAATCTTTAGTTTAAAAATAAATTAAGATCACCCACACCACTCCTGGGCCCTGGCTACAACCCTGGAAGAATTCCACTGCTCAGGTGCAGGCCACACCAGTCAGAAGAACAGGTGAGTGATCTGCCTGCCAGCTGAACTGCCCCACTCCCTAGATTTGGTTCCCCAAGACCCATTCTACCACCTGCTCCTCCAACCTCATTGTCAGCCACAAGACCATGAGGAACTCCTGCTGCTCAAGTGGAGATCACACTAGTCACAAGGACAGATATAGGCCACAGCAGTCAGTAGGACACAGACCCTTTGCTGCACCAAAGGCCAAGCTAACCTCCAGAAGGCCAGATCCCAAATTGGACAGAGATTTCCTACTAGATCAGAGGTCATACCAACCCCCAGAAATTCAGACAACAAAGACTAGAAGACCAAAGGGAAACAGAAAACAAGGAACAAAACACCTACCCAACAAAGACAAACTCAGAAATCAGGACCTAGATCAAATCATCCCAAACCAAAATGCCTAAATGCCAGTGTAAGGACACAATCAAAAATAGCTAGGGCAATAGGGCACCACCAGAGTCCAGCTATCCTAGAACATCAAGACATGAATACTTTAATGCAGATGCAGCACAAGAAAATGACCTGAAAATTTTTTATGAAGATGATAGATGTCCTTAAAGAGGAAATGAAAAACTCCCTTAAAGAAATCAAGAAAAAGCACAAAGCTACTCAGAGAAACCCTGTCTCGAAAAACCAAAAAAGAAAAAAAAAAAAAGAAAAAAGAAATTAAGAAAAAGATGAGCAAAAAATTGGAGGAAATCAATAAAGCCCTTAAAAAATGCCAAGAAAGCCAAGAAAAAACAAATATGTCAAAGAAACTATTCAAGACCTAAAAACAGAAACAGAAGCAATAAAGCACAAACTGAGGGAATTTTGGAAATGGAAAATCTGGGTAAACGAACAGGTACTACAGATGCAATCATCACCAACAGAATACAAGAGATAGAAGAGAGAATCTTAGGTGATAGAGATAACAGTAGAAATAGATTCATCTGTCAAATAAAATGTTAAATCTAAAAAAATTCTTAACACATAACATCCAGGAAATCTTGTACACTATGAAAAGACCAAACCTAAGAATAATAAGAATAGAAGGATGAGAAGAATACCAACTCAAAAACCAAGAAAACATATTTAAGAAAATCATAGAAACTTTCCATAACCTAAAGAAGGACATGCCTATGAAAGTACAAGAAGTTTACAGAACACCAAATAGATTGTATCAGAAAAGAAAGTCCCTACACCACATAATAATCAAAACATTAAACACACAGAAAAGTAAAGAATATTAAAAGCTACAAGAGAAAAAGGATAAGTAACAAATTAAGGCAGATCTAATAGAATTACACCCAAATTCTCAATGGAAAC